AAATACAGAGGGATTCCTCTGAGGTTCTTGCTACCAACCCTATCAAATCCAGTTAACTACAACAGATGAAACTTTTGCTCATTTCCCTCCAGCTCACATCTTGAAAATACTTTCCTCATTTTCTTTTAAAATATTTTGAGATTGTTTCTGTTTGGTATGCAACCCAGAAAATCTTTTTTGATACCTGCCGAGCTATTATAATATGGTCATTTCTTGACATCATCTTTAAAGCAGCCAACCTGACAACATGCCATATAAGATATAAAAAAACCTCTTACTCCGTTGTACAGAAAGAGAACTGAGACAGAGAGGAGGCAAAGCTTGCCAAGGTCAAACAAAGCTTGTGGTAGAAAATGAATTTGCACCCAAGCCTTCTGAGTGCCAGACTATCACCCCAACTAAGCTGCAGTAAATCTTCAGCTGTCACCAAAACACATGAAATTTTCAGGTTAAAACACAAATAAAGAAATCATGAAACGAAAGCTGTGAGCTTAAAATCATATATATCATGCATTTGTATGCAGTCCATGAACGCATATATACAGATGCCTTTCAAAACATCCATAGCATGTGCAAATGTTAAGGATCAAATTGATAAAATCTTAAATTTAAACTCTTTGAGTTTGCAAATAGCCTACTTTTTTGTGTCCTATTTTTCCTGTGTGATTCTAAACCTCTTGTCAGATGAGCTCTCCTAAACCTGAGCTTCAGAATATCTGTGCAACTGCTGAACTGCGTGTAGTCTGCTTGTTAACAAGAAATGAAGCTGGAAGTTAAGTCACCGCTAATTAAACTCATAATTACAAATGGAAGGTCAGACAGCAGATCCAAGGGCTGTTTGAAAACATAATAAGACAAAAGAAAGAACAAATTTTCATGTAATAATTCAGCCCTTGCTTGGCAGACTGACCCATTAGAAGACTTCTCAGCTGCCTACAGTTCGGAAGGCACATATTAAAACAATAAATGCAAATCCTTTCAGTTTAAACAGATTTGTCAATGATTAGCACAGGCTCTAACATTACCTAGATTTCTATTTAAAAACAAAAATTAAGAACTGCTCATTTACAAAGTTAGAACATGGATCACAGCCTCCTAGCCTGAGCTCCAAAGTGATTGCCGCCAGCACATTCACAAAAAACATCTTGTTTGGAACTGGGTAACATGTCACTCCTCTGCCCACGTGCAGTTGGGAAATCTGCTTCATGATTCCCTGCCCTGCTTCTGAATCTCCACGAACACAGAAATCCTGAGGTAACCACTACATTACCTTTGGTCCTTTGTTGTGAGGTCGGAGCAGAGAGAAAACAAGAGCATGAGAGGAGGCAGTATTAAAAGAGCAAAGGGGTGCAGAAGTACCAACCGCAACTGGAAACTGGAGGACAGCTGGGGAAGGTTCACTCTATTTTCTGCTGTCCTTGATCTCCTGAAGGGCCAGGGGTTTTCGTGTGAGTCTCAAACTCCATATTCTGACCCTCCTCACCACCCTATCACAGCAGGATGAGTGACAGGCACGCAGGACACATGGGGATCTAGGCAGCACGTGGAGCTGTGCCAGACCAGAAAGCCAGTGCATCTCCCTGTTATCATGCTTGTGATGAAGCCTTATGGGTTTGCGAAAACCTAAGGAGAAGATTTTTGTTCTTTCCAAGATAGGCACGTTTCTTACATGGGATCTGGACACTTAAACAGCACAGCACTTGGGAACCCATTTGGGATTTAGGAAGTCTCTGTCAGGAAATACAGAAATATAGGCACCATATCAAAGCTGTTTTATGCCGTGCCTCCTACTTACTCTGGTTATTTCACCTTTCTGTGAGCCACAAACAGTCCCTGAAATTTGTGGCGGGGTGGAGACACCTTATGAGGTTTGCCACTACTAGATTTAAAAAAAGAAAAGTAAGTTAGTCCCTCATCAGCAGGCTTTCATCTGATGTGCTAATTCTAAAATTCTGCCTTCCGACAGTTCAACTTTGCTTCAGTGAATGTCTCACCAAGCTTTTTCTAGCAAATATCATTTATGATTTCTATGACACACTTGTTTTGCAGAGAAATTGTGGAGGTAAAGATCACTGCGTTGATTGACACCTAGTTATTCAGTCAAGCATACTTGTATTTTGCTAGTCACAGACCACACATACCAAATTTGATGCTGAAACAACTTCTATTAAGCATTCTGGAGGGGGCTTGGGAAGAAAATCAGTCTTGTAATGAATATCTTAACTACGTTGCAGCTACTGCAGCACCATAATACTATTTTCTCTCCTGCTGTCAATTTAGCAGCAACAGTACTGAACGCCAGAGGACTTTTCTATGGAGGGAGAGATAACAACATACATTTACTGAGAGGATGGGGGGTTGGTTTCTTAACAATGGAAGTATACATGGATGGATTTGGTAGTTCTCAGCTGGTGAGCAAATTTTCAGCTCTAACTCATCGTGCCTCTTTGGGTGGGAAAAATGGATTTCAAGTAAGTATTCCTTTCTGGGTCCATGAAAGATACAATGTGGGCAAGCTGAGTGGAAAATTTAGAAAGGCAAAATAGTCACTTGACATCATACTATGCTGAAGCTAAGTAGTGCTGGAAGCTGAGACGCCAGGCCACAATGCATTCATGTAAGGCAGTAATTTACTTACTCAGGAAAAATGCTTGTTCTAAATCTGACACAACATTTTATAAGATGTTTCTCATAAAGAGTGGGGACATGAAAATAACTTCATCATAGCTTAGAAATGGAGGAAGGATTCACAGAGTTTCCAGAGAACCTATTTCTTTACCCCATCCCCTCTCTCCTAAGGCACTAGAAGTTTTCAGTGAGAGGATTTAGTCCAGATCTACCTGGACTTGTCCAAAGCATTTGACACTGTCTCACATGGCATCCTTGTCTCTAAATTGAAGACATGAATTTGACTGATGGACCACTCAGTGGATAAGAAATTGGCTGAATGGTCACACTCAAAGAGCTGAGGTCAATGGCTCAATGTCCAAGTGGAGACAAGTGACGAGTGATGTTCCTCAGGGGTCAGTATTGGGGCCGATGCTGTTTAACATCTTTGTTGGTGACATAGACAGTGGGATTGAGTGCACCCTCAGTGAGTCTGCTGACGACACCAAGCTGTGTGGTGTGGTTGACATGCTGGAGGGAAGGGATGCCATCCAGAGACACCTTGACAGGCTGGAGAGGTGGGCCCATGGGAATCTCATGAATTTCAACAAGACCAAGTGCAAGGTCCTGCACTTGGATTGGGGCAATCCCAATCTCTGCTCTTAAACCTGTGTCTCTTTTTGCAGATTCCTCACTGCATTTCACCCCAACTTTTATCCTCCTCTGAACTTTACTGAGTTTTAGGAGGTGCTCAGTAGACCAAACAGACAGACAATTTCTTCTGCCATGAAGGAACTAGAACTTTCAGAAAATTTTGAGAAGATCATTGTTCAAGCTTTCTGGATAACTATTTCTGTCTTTGGTTTCAAGAGCAATTTATTTATTGATCTTAACCTTATTCCCACTACAGTCAGTCCTCACAGATACTCTGCAATAGTTTTATTCTATTTTGTTTCTCATGTTATTTCCAGAAATTACTTGCAGTTCTTGTTTCTATTACTGTTAAAATCCACTTATTTTGGCCAAACTAACAGAAAATTAATTTAAAAACAAAACTTGTTATGGTTTGGGGCTGGTTTTATTATTATTATAACACTGTATCCGTACAAAGCATTACATTTCCTGCAAGTACACAATGGCAAGTTAAAAACTGGAAAAACTGTTAAATTCATGTTTATAAGGAATGCATTTATTTACGTCCTTCTGTGCAGATACCACAGAGAAAGCAAAAGTAACTTTTTAAAGTACCAGCTTCACCTAAGTGCTAATGTCTCTGACTCAGGAGCTGAGCACAAAGATTATAGTCCTAGTTTTCCCAGGGCAGCCCCCAGTGAGACCAACAGAGTAACCGTGTCACTTTTTAGCACCTAAAATCCTTGGCTCAGCATTTTCTAGGAGGAGAGCCTGTGTCACACTGCCCACCCTCTGGCCACTTCTCCACTCCATCACCATCAGACCGAACATGAGATACCAGACCCTAATCCTGTCATCACCGACCACGGAAGATCAACAGCCCTCCCAGTACTCCATGACAGTGTGAAATTTGAAATTTTGTCTGTGTTTTGAGAAAAAAATGAAGACATACATTAGCCTTCAAATTTTCTGATGAAAAACAAATTACACACACACATAAATTGCCACCAAACAAGAAGCAGCTCTCTGGTATACTGCAAATATTCTTGTTGGGTATGGATTAGGAGGGGAACGGCAGGGGAAAGAAGTCAAAGGTGCAAGATAAATTGCATTTGTTACAGAAGCTGTAATTTCTCATCGCAATATTGCCAACACAAGTACAGAAAATTATATATAAATTTAATAAAACAACTGCTATATTACATCTATTATCCTGGAGTCAGGTTCGGTTATCTTTTCCTCCTTGAGAAGAAGTTTTTTCTGCAAATAATGCCACTGAATCTGACCATGTATGTTTTGGCTGTTTATATTCCAAAAGACCACTTATATTACCTTACATGCAAATAATAGTATAAAAAACAGTGTATATCAAAATATTGAGAACATAAAATTGCACATTGAAGGTGAGAAGTGAAATGTTCCCTAGAGGTGACAGTTTGTTCTGATGTTCAACAAAGAAATAAAGACAGCTGAGGCAGTGAGAGCTCTCGTTAAGCAAAATACATGTAAACATGAAAGACATCTCTTCTGGAAAAATACACAATTAAAGTGCCATTGTCCTCTCCATGCACCTGTCAAAACTGCTTTGGATTTGTAGGAGTGAAGAAGAAGGAGGGCTGAGAAGAGAAAAGCAGCCACTGCACATAAGCAGAGTATTTTATTAGAGAGTTATCTCCTTCTTGCAAGAATGAGTGCTCAAATGGCTAATACCTTTCTGTGAAATCCAGGTTTCTGGCTTCGTGTTAAGAAGCGGCTCTTACCTTATAGGATTATCCATTCTTGATACTGTGAGAAAAGCTGCTAAGTTTGCTGTGTAGGAAGAGCACACGATAAGGGTGAAGAGCCACCAACTTCCCATTACAATGCGCATAGCCACAGAATTGACCGTAGATTCTCCCCCTACAAATAAACAGAGAAAATGAGGGTCTCTCAATGGCTTCCATTTATGATTACCCTCTGTGTGCCCTGTTAAGTCAAACTTTCTTGGAGCTACCCCTCTGCCTTTCTGCTTCCCCTCCTGACTGCCCTTTCACTGTGAGAAAGGCACTACTTCTGTTAAGACTGGTTATTTACAAACATTTTCTGCAGTCAACATCTTGTCCTGGATACTGTTCTACGAAATCGTATTTAAAAATATTTCACTTGGGAATTATTGAGTATCAAATCTACAGAACATGAAAAATATTCTAAATAAAGTTAGTTTAATGGTGAAACACCACTAATATGCAGGAATTAAATGATTAGTGTTCAGAAAATAATAGTATTCTGTTTTCAATGACCATATTAGATTTGGAAAAACCCACAAAACTGTCCAATGGTTTGTGTGCTATCTGTGCTGTATTTAAATCTGCAAAGACTGAAGCATTAGCATCATTACTTGTTACTCTTTGTAACATTTCAAACAACGTGAAGATTTCTTTCTAGCAGGCTTCAAGCACAGTTATGCTTGAACATTGTTGGAGACCAAACCTTACCATACAGCTGGTGATAGTCACATCAGCATATGTTTGTGCTGATTGTATCTTACTGTACTTAAACCCATCAGGGATGACACTTTAACAAGATGGGGAACCAAGTTTCATAGCAATAGCAAGGATTTTCCAGTTGAAGCTTTATAAGTTTGCAATCACAATGAAAAAAATGTAGAAAAATTTAAACAATATACCTGTATAACATTCAACAAAACCTGCCTTCCAAGAACAGCACTAACATGATAGATATAGGGCAAAAATGGTGTGGGCAGATTTTGCAAACAATTATTTACAAAAGTAGCTTTGTTGATGGTAGCAATCCTACTGAATTCAATAGGACTTGTCCTATGTCTGGAGACTCCTGAGTGTAAAGTTAGTTACATGGCTACAAATAATTGTCCTGTTTAGTTCAAAGAACCAAAAGATAAACTGTCTCACATTAGTTCAGAAATATATAAATTTCTAAATTTAAATGCAAACCATTAGAAAGGTGATAGTTTCAGAGTTGGAGGAGTGTTGCAATGCTGTACCAAGCAGTTCTATAGTATATTACCATTTTCCCAAAGCAGAAAAGCCTGCACAGAGTGTTTTTTCTGGACTTACTGAGAGACAGAAAAGCAGAACATAACTCCTCCAAACTTACCTATCTCTCCCAGCTTTTCATCAGCTGGGCTAATAAAACATATTACTTCCCTGTACAAGCCTTATCTCAGCTTTAGACCATTCTGGCCAAGACTAACCTGTCCTGACTTGCTTAACCCAAGACAGAACATTTCTGAACATCCATCAGTGGTGTTTATAAGAGAGTAAGTACCTTGCTGAACAAAGGCGCCGTACACGACCCAGATGGCACTGTGGAGGGTGGAGGAAGCAGAAGGACTTGGCTGGGAAGCGTTCTGCGCCCTGACTGCCTGGATGCGGTTCAAGACAAATATCAAGACACCAACTATAGGGATGGCTGCAGCAATGCAAGCCCACACCGCAAAGTCGAAAGGAGCAAAGAGAGAGAAGATGTTGATTTTCTCTTCGGGCTTTTTGATTAAGATCCCCACTGAATAGTCCATGTACCGCTTGCTGAAGTCCACAACACTCTCTCGTTCTGGTGTTATAGTGATGGCTGAGATGGCTAGGTCTGCTCTCTGCGAGACAAACGCAACAAATCAGATCTCTTCCTTTCACTATGAATTTTGCCAGCATGAGCCTTAAGGAGAAACCTTTTAAGAACCAAGTGATTCCATGCATTTCTGTCTATAATTTAATACTTTTAGACAAATTAAAATAAATTGCCTAAAAACAAGACCAGAATCAATTTCATCTCATTTGAACATTAATTAATTGCACAGGTTTAAAGCGGAATAGTGAAACATAACCTGTCAAAGTACTCTAAAACAAAAAGTCACCCTGACTCCTCTCTGGAAAGAGTGCAATTTATTTAACCTTTATCTTTCCCTTGTTTTCCAAAGGATATCTAAAACTTCAAACCATATTAACCTGGTGCACTGCAAGCAACAGGAAAGAAACACCATTTGTTTGGCTTGTATATTTGACACCAAGTTGCAAAGAGCTGATGTTTGTTGTTTTCCCTGCAGAGTTGTCAACTTCCCATGTTTATGAATGGATTTCATACAACAACTAGGGTGAATATTTTGTTTATTTTTACAATGAATAAAGCGATGGCAAAAACTAGCAACTGGAAGAATGCACGAAAGGCAAGTTAGCCCCTGAAACTGCTTTGACCTCAACATTTAAAGTGAGTAGGTTTTATACACAAAGGGTCCTTAAAGAGTATGCAAACTCAATGAAAGACAGAACAGGAGTTAACAAAAAAGATTCCCAAAGCTTTTGAAAAGCTGCAATTAGATTTTGAATATTTTTCCAAATTAATAAAAACAGCTCCCTTAAAAAAGAGAATCTACTTTTTGTTTCCTATCTCTACATTTTGTTGGGAAAGTAAATAATTGTTAGGTGAGGGAGGTCTGCTTTGAAATGCTTTGGAGTCAGAAGAAAAGCTAGTAGCAGAAATAACATTAAAAAATACTGTAATAGAATACTTTGTTGTTTCAAAGAAAACAATTTCAAAAGAAATTTAACAAGATTTCTTACCACGTTTTCAAATCAATGAAATTAAAACAACTTATGTCAATGCAAAATAAGTAAAAAATTATTTGCATTCCTTAGCACCAACCAAGAATATCCCATTATTATATACATTTTTGCTATTGCTTTAATTGCTTCTATTTCTTCCTAAACATCTACTTACCAGATATTGAGCTACCTACCTACTAGATAATGAGAAAGCTTTCACTTTCAGTAATATCTCCGCTGTAGAACAGTAACCTTTTCTACAAAGGGCAGCCATGTGGAAGATTAATTCATTTGATTCTCCTTCTTGATTAACATTTGTCCCACATCAGATAGTGAGACCATGAACAAAATACACTCTAACTTCAGTCTCTGGCAGACTATGGACTTTTCCCATTTACTTCAATGGAGTTCAATTAACTTACTCCCGATTTACAAGACTGTAATTAAGAAAAGAAGTCTGGTCCTCTCTGTTTCAAATGAATTAATAATCTTGAGATGAGTTTAAATTCTGGTCCTTCAAAAACACTTCTTTATGGTATATTACTAGGGACGCTTTTCCTGTTTTGGAGTCAAACAGTGGATCATTACATTGCCACAAAGTGACCCAAATAAAGTCATACCTACAAATAAGTAGCAAATACATAATGAAAAAAAAATAATAGTAATTAATATTTTAAGAAAAAGACAATATTTTTTCTCTACTTTCCACAGTCATTCACTCACACACACATACATGACCTCTGTTCTTCTTATTACAGCTATATAAACACACAGGTTTACACTGATATAATTTGTGTTGATAACAGTTGGGAGCAAATAGAACAACAGACTCTCTAGTTCCTATCCTGTATACAGGCTCTTAAATTGCACAGTTTACACCACACTCAAACCACCCATAGCTCAGCAATGTTCTGCACTGGTGCTTTCATTCTAATTCAATCTCTTGTAATTTGGAACTGAGGATGGGGAGAATTTTAATTTTATTTTTTTTAAAGCAGTTTCTTCTCTGTGTACCTTGTTAATGAGTTCTCCAATCATGCCATTCCAGGAGCTATTCTGAAGTTGCTGTCCGTATTTGCCATCAGGAGCTTGATATATCTCATACTTGAAGCCCAGATTCTTGGCAAGTGCATCTAGGACATCAATGGAAAATCCTTTGTATCGTTTTGGTTGCCCAAGTATGTTCTCTGCCACCATCACAAAAGGTTCTTCCTGAGAACAAAACAATATCTTAACTGATACACGAAACAAGTTTTTTAGTTTGCTTCTCTTAGCAGAAGGATGTTTCCTGAATTAATACTGGACAACTTGACACAGAATTTGAGACACTCGTAACCTTCTGAGACAAAAACTGTAGGTCATGCAGAATATTATGAGGCATTCCAACCAGACATCAGTGCTTCAGCATCTGAGTCCCATCCACGGCCTTGGGTTTTCCACAGCTCGTGAGAAGAGGCAGATTCCAGAAGACAATTCAATCCCCACTAGCAACTTCCTGGTGTGCACAGGATGACTGCTCCCTGAAGTATCTGCCTCTTCTCACTGTCTAAAAAGGGGGCACAGACACCTACCTTAGTGTCCTAACTAGCTGTCTAGCATATAGATATTAAGCATATGAGTCCTAGATAGGAACATTACTACTGTTCATCTCTCAGAGCATATCAGATTTAGAAACCCGTCCTTTACAGACAGCGATATCCAGAAGACACAGAAGACATACTGAAACAAGAGCTAAAAATGCTGCATTTTGTGAGTATTTAAAATTCTGAAAATTCAAAGAATAACCTTCATGGGTAATGGTTCTGGGACTATTTTATATAAACATATGTTTTGGGACCAAGGGAACATAGCATTATGTGGTATGTCTTCTGTCAGGCATGAGAGTCCTGCTATCCTGCGGGGAAACACCGGGGCTTCTGGCGGCACAGCCATCGCAGCTGGCTGCCTTTGCAACCTGGTACTGACCTTCTTTTGGAAGCGATCTAGTCACCTCCCACCTAAGCTGCAGCATAACCTCACCTGTCACCA